CGGGAACTATTAGCACCAAACGTGCAGAAGCTTCAAACCGACATCAGCCTTATAGAAACCTGTAATATGCAGAGGTTAAACACCATCTTCACATACGTGTCTGTAATAGACACTTTTAATAGCAGTATCAACCTGCCTGTAATGTAGAAGGTTAACACCAGTAACAATATCATAGTGGTATGTATTGCCGAGGTTTAATACTAATATGAACCTTTTGTCTGTAGTGCAAAGATTTAATATCAGTATTAATCTCAGGTATGCCTGTAACGCGGAGATTTAATTATCAGTCTGATCCTCATACGTGCCTTAATCCAAAGGTTTAATATCAATATGTGCCAATGAGAAAGTCATATATGTCTATATCCTGGGTAGGATTTAAACCCAGCCAATCTGAATGCAGCCATGGAAGCAGCGTCAGCTTAATCCAACAGCATCTACGGAACCCAAAGGACTGAAGACAAAGAAAAATGAGGAGTTGTCCATCCCTCAGGCCTGATATGCATCTTATTTGTTTCTCCCCAGAAACAACTGCATGGCGCATCTCCAGCTCAATTAAAATGGAAATTTGTGCAGTCAGCCTGTGCAGCTCAGCGATGCGGCAATCAAGATCATTCAGACTGCTCTTAATAATAATCAGAGCGAAATGGGGGAGCAGTTCACTCGGGGCAGCAGGTTGCATTTTTGTATCCAGGTTTTCTCAGACGCCAGGCAGGAGGGCGGTATGGTGCTTAAACCGAATTTTCTCCAGCAGCTTAAATATCTAGGCCAGCGTAATGTTCAGAACTTGCGTTGTGCCTACTAAGCAAATTAAACAGAACAGAGCACCCTCTGCTTCTGTGTCCCTTCCTGGTGAACAGCTGCACGGTCTCTCTGCATCACTCCACGGCAGGGTCCACATCCCAAATTCCTTCCCGTCAGATTCCACATCCATAGCCGGCAGTCAATTTCTGAAGCTTCATCGCCAGAGAAGCCAACTCAACTCCCCTCACAGTGAAGCAGAGATGGATAGTTCAGATCTAGAAAGTAAAAATCAAGACTAAGATTTTCTTTCAACCAACCAGTTAAGTATAAAGAGTCACTCAACTGGTTGGTTGAAGCAAAATCTTGGTCTAGATTTTTACTTTCTGGACTGACATGGAGCAATACTATGAAGGAGATGCCAAATTAACATCAGACATGTTACTGGGGCTTTGTGATGCACTATAGTTGCGTCTGGTTTAGACTCGAGGCTTTAGAGGTCACTGTGGGTGCTTTTTGTTATGGTAAATTTGGTACTTTCCCTGTCCTATTGACTTTTGGTTGAGTACCAGTACCAACAGTACTAGTGCCTAAAATACTGCAGTACTTGTTAGGTACTTCTGTACTTTGGGGAGGGACTTGAATCGCTTTCTTTGTCGAATGGATATGTAAATAGTCTGTGGACTGGTTATGCAAATAGCTTGCCTCTGAGGAAACGGTACAATCGAACTATAAATAATAATAATAATGGATGCGTGAACAAATGAAAGACCCAAGCTTAAATTGCAATCTAGCTGAAAGAACAGATACAACAAGATCAGGATGGCATGACAAGAAATTAAGTATTTTCTATAATATATTAGGACAGCGCGGTATTATTTTGTTGTAATAAATATTGGTGTATTTAGAAAGCAAAAAAGGAGTTCAACATAAATATCTCACAAACCCATCTAGGAGTGATTTAAACAGGAAGGATGATAATGATCATGCAGTGCTCAATGAAAAGCAGTGGAGGTAAACTTTAAACTGATTTTTTAAAGATATACTAGACAATATTGAAAAGGAATAATTATTATAATTGCAAAATTTGCAAAGTTTTTTTTACTGTGACAAAGTGAAACTGTTTAAGCGAAACTTAAAACCCCTGCACTATAATGTCTGTATGAAGGTATGAAATAGCCTGATCTCAGTCCAGCTGACTAGCGATGTATGAATTGCATGTGTATAACATGCAATGTTGGTATTAATATCGCATATCGTCCAGCCCTATAAGATACTATAGCCATGTTTCAAATTCAGTACAAAATAGCCCACCTCATGCTGTGATGTCATTCAGTGCCAGTACCGCTTTTTATGCCAATGGAAAACTAAAACCTTTACATACCATACTTTTGGTACTTTGGACATTTTGTTAAGGTATTTTATAGATTATCCTGTTTTATTACTTTATTTTTACTCTGTAGCACTTTGAGATTGCTAAAATATAAAGTGCAATACAAATAAAATGTATTATTATTATTATTATTATTACTTTCTTGAACTGCATGTGATGCAGTGGAAAAGCGCCCTGTGATTCCAGTTAGATAAGCAATTGCTAAAAATGCATGGGATTGATGTCTTATAAAGGAATGGACAAAAAAGTCTAGCAAGAAAAAATGTCATCATTAATTTTAATACCTCCATTGTATAAGGGGTCCAGGAAAAAGACGGAGACGCCAGAAACCTTGATCTCACAGGCTACACCGGCCCTGGGTCAGAGCTTTTTCATTACCTACATGTCAAAATAAAGCACCTAACTACAGATTTTGTTCTCCTCAAAGAAAGACTGAGTACAGTCCTGTCACAGGTGTAATTCCCATATTCCAAAAGTGTCCCATGACAGATTTACGCAGTTAACACAGGGGCAAAAGACAACACACATCAATACCGTGAGCTGATTCCAGGCTCAGTGCGCACTTGCTACCGGGGACGGTTCACCTTTGATAATCGGATGTCCTGACATCTCTATCAAAAGAAGTAAGGAGGAGAAAAAAAATCAGGCTCCTTCCCAGAAAAATGGGAAGGAGCAAAAAAGGTGAATAAGCAATAAAACTAAGGGATGGAAAAGGGGGGATATAGGCCTTCTGTCATGTGCCAGAACCTTAAGTGTCATGTGATACAAGCTGCTGACGCAATAGTGTTACAGGACAGTGGATGTTTCAAGGGAGGACTGAGGTCAGGAGACAAGCCCCTCTACTCATGTGCAATCAGCTGTAAGAGGTAGGTTTGCTCTGTTTGTGAGAGAGAGTCACTGGGGGCAACTGCTTGGTTTTACATTTGTTTAGCAGGCGTTTCTGTACAAAGCGACATAAAAGTGAGAAAAGCTTAGGGTCACGAAGCTGGATTGGTCAGTGTTCTAGAAGCAGCTGGGGTTAAGGGCCTTGCAGAAGGTGTGCACCATGATACAAGTGCTTTACAGCCACAGGCTTTGAACCCATGACATTCCAAACAGTAGCACAGATTCCGAACCTGCTGAGCTACACTGAGGGGGATGACCGGCCGCTCGTGTCATTTAGGGAGGAAAACGTGCGCTTGTATGTTCTTCAGTTCTCCTAGCGATTCAGTGAAAGTGCTGAATAAAAGACCCTGTTACGTCCTCCGAATTCCCGCATCCATGGATATGTCTGCTGCCCGTGAGCCTGAGTTTTTCACACTTAGTTACTACACCGATATTACAAGACAGCTATTTAACAGATCCACAAAGTCTAGTGTTTATCAGACCTCTATAGGACTTCACATACTGTACAGTTTAATGGATCCGTGTGTCCTGGCATTTGTCAGCATCACACATTCTGGTCTTTAACCATCAACACACCATCAGCCTTTAGCGCACGAGCCGCCATGCTGTCAAGCATGTGAGATCTGCTTCTCCTCATCGGGACGTTAAGAGGACCTTAGAGTTCTTCTTTAAAGACCTTTGAGATGCATGGGAGGGCTGCCGGAAAGCCCTCACAGTGGAGGCAGAACCGCTAGGCTGCAAACAGCCATGAGAGGGAAGAAAAATAACGCAGTTAAGATGCAGTTAAATGTACATCATCTTCTGCTTGCCCACAGGAAAGGGCCACATTGAGCTGTGATGGTGACAGATGCTTTCCAGCTAATACCACAGTATCTTGTAGTCTATGCTTTGAAGATCGCTTTGCTTTTAAATGACTTAATCGGGGATTATTGAATAAGGACCTTTGCTTTTTTCTGATTTACCACCTCATCAACCCCCCGTCAGGTCCTAATTCTATTACGAGCAGGAGCCCTCGACGTTACACAGCCACCCGATTATGCCGGCGGAGTTGGAAGGAAAGGAAAGACTGACCTAATGTCTGAGCTGCAGCAGATCTGAGGAAGTTCTCAATTAGGGACGCAAACGTGAATGAGCAGCTGAGGTGACCTAGATAGCTGGGTAAGAGAGGCCACTACATAGGCTCAAAAATGACACTGCATGTTAACACTTGGCCCCAGGCCTCACAGCCTACACTGCATTCTGACACTGGATTCATAAGTTGATTGTCTATACTGAATGCTAACACTGGGCCCAGGCCTCACAGCCCACACTGCATTCTCACACTGGATTCATAGGTTTACTGCCCAAACTGAATGCTAATAATGACCCCAAAGCCTCACTCCATAGACACTGGATTTATAGGCTAATGGCCCATGGGGAATGCTAACAATGGCCTCAGAGCCTCACACCCCACATTACACACTGACACTGGATTCATAAGCTGCCCACATAGAACTGCACATCCATCCATCCATTTCCTGAAACTGCTTATCCTGCTCAGGGTCACGGCAGGTCTGGAGCTCATCCTGGAGTCTACAGGCACAAAGCAGGGAACAACCCAGGATGGGGCAGCAACCCATCACAGGGTGCAGTCACACACCATTCACTCACACACCATTCACTCACACATGCACACCTATGGGCAATTTTGTAACCAGCATGTTTTTGGACTGTGGGGGGACACCAGAGTACCTGGAGGAAACCCCACGACGACACAGGAAGACCATGCAAACTCCACACACATGGAACCCTGGCAAAGACTCAAACTCAGGTCCTAGAGGTGTGAGGCAACACTGCTCACCAGTGCACCAACGTGCCACCCCGGAGTTGCACGTGCACATAAATAATATTGTCATTCTTTGTGAAAAGTAAATGTTTTGATACTCGTTTCTCTTCGTGCCGAGAGCGTGGTCACAGGTGTCGAAAGCTACGGCATATAACTCACCCAGCACTGAAAGGTCGCAGGATGCGCTGATGTTCTGGTTCTCGTTGTGGGCCATGCAGCTGTAGGAACCGGCATCTTCTGTGCGGACACTCCGGATCAATAGGTTGCTCCCTCCCAACAGAGAGTAGCGCTCCAACCTGCACGGGTCAGTGTTGAATCAAAGGGAGCTCAGAAATGGCCCACATACAGGAGCACTGTCCATTTTCACGGTTTTCCTCACCCCTGTTTGCTCCGGGTGAAGCCGTGATACCCAAAGCACACCAAAAGCTGCTATCACTATCACCGTGCCTCATAAAACGACATGGCCACCCAAATGTGTTGCTCAGATGTATTAGATGAAACGTGGTAAACTACAAAAAGGCCTTTTGGAGCAGGGAGCAACACACCAGCAGTAAGAGACAGAAAGGGGCACCCAGATTGCGGGGTGGTGTATTACATTTCGCGGTGAGCATTTCCCTCAGTCACATCAGGCCGAGCGAGCCGTCAGCCCAGCATCTGCCCTGTAATTCTCGCCGCCCACTGCTGTTTGGAATCGTCGCCTTTTATCCGCTTACACAAGCTTAAATTATGCTGATCTCATTAAAACACAATGTTTTCACATATCCCTGTTTCATCAGGTCAGGCAGCCTCCAGACTGGGCAATGGCAGCCCCCCAGTGCAGGCAGGTGAGGTCAAAGACCACCTCACTTAGAATACGGGGCTTATTTATTTTTCTAATAAGTGCAGCATGCAACAACGGGAATGATGGCTGCTCTTAAGGGACTGCCGTGAAAAAACAGGTTACAAGTCCTAAATCTTTTTAGTATAAGTATATAAAATTCCGAAGGGCACAAAAAACAATAGCTGTTAGGTCACTGATTCAAGAACAGAGCCTCAAACAGGTACTTGATGTCAGGGGGAAATCAGGGGATTTGTAACTGGCTTTCCAACTGCTGTAGATTCATGCTACATGTGTGTAAGGGAAGGTGTTTTGACCTTTGGCTTGCAAGGAGCACTGAGTAAAGAAAGAGTCACTGACCTGGTGTCAATTGGGCTGTCAGTCCTAGTCCAGAGGAAGGTCGGCGTAGGGAAGCCAGAGGCAGAACATTCCAGAACTGCATCACTGCCCTCCAGGACTATGGATTCGGTGGGCCGCTGCAAGAAGCCAACAGCGCGAGCCACACCGGGCTCTGTGGATAGACCAGAGACAAAGCTGTCATACCCCATCCACCAATGCCATCAGCCAAGGCAGGTGTGGAAGGATTCATTTCTGACCTCCACTGGAAACATCTTCCTATCTGGGATGTAGAAACAGGAAGTAAAATAAAAGAAGTGAATCAGACTAAAGCGGGTTTCAGACCGAACGCGGCATGCGCTGCGCTCGCCGCGGGGTTTGCGCTTCCTCCAAGAAAACAGCGAGTGCGCTTGACGCGCTGCGCTTGCCGCTGGGCTCAGCGCAAGAAGTAGGCGTGGTTTTCTAAACTCTCCTGTTTTGTTGTTGTCCCGTCCCGTGGTCAGTCACGACAATGTATGAAAGAAAAGCACTAGCTCTGTTAGCACCAAGAAAGAATGGGCTGTGGGTGCATGAGACCCTGAGGGGTTAATTCTATAATATTGCAATAACTAATTTTCAATAGTATAGCGTCTAATAAAAATGCAGACAATAGATATAGGAACTGATACTAAGCTGGCAGGATGGGATGATCTCACCCATGCAATTGGGAAAAGTTAGGAACTGACAGTGCGTGAGCAGGTCGGGTGACCTCGTCCCAAGCAGCGGGAAAAACAGGAACCCATCATGTAACTTGTCCCCGTCAGCAGGAAAATAGGAAATCATCATAGAACTTGTTCCAGTCAGCAGGAAAACAGGAACCTATCATATAATAAATACTTATTTTAACTTTTGCTTAACAAAAAGGGGGGAACATGTACTCACTGGCTAACTAGAGCAAATGTCAAAAACATGTTGTGGTCACGTAAATGGAAAAGTACCGAGAAAGGAGTGGGGGGTGACACCCCAGAAGGCCTATAAAGAGACAGAACCGATACCTAGGGTTCGAGCTTCTTCCTGTACATGCTGAATGTATGTCAGATGGTTGCTCCCAGATTGCAATCTGTCAGAGAATAAACTGGTGACTTGCAACTACTCCTCGACTGTGCTGTGAATCTCTTCTCATCAACGGACCTGACGGGGCTTTGATTCCAACACTGAAGCTCAAAGGGAGTGTGGGGGTGGGGGGCAGGAGAACTGACAGAGTGCGCGACAGGAAAATACACTCA